TCTGTTTTAATTGTCCAATTGCCACAGTGCTTGTCAAAGCCAGTTCTGATTAATCTCCTTTGTCAGTGTGTCCTTTGCTATTCCCTATCACTCCTTGAGAGAGCCTTAACCCTGATTCATAAGGAAAAGGGGACTGTGTATTCTCTTACTTACTTCCTGCTGTAAGGGGACGCTGTAGGTTTCAGGGTGAAGATCTTCTCTCACTACTCTAAAGGGCCCCTTTGGCAATAGGAAACACATAGACTATTATGGAGATTGATTTTGGAATTTAGATGCACTGTTATCAATTGTGCTTAGCTGTACATGTTTCTGTCAACCTTTCTGGAAGGTTTTTGTCACTCATGGAGAGACGTAGTCAAATAGAAAAACTTGATGTGGCTTCCTCAGATACATAAAAAAAGGTATCCAAATTGTGCTTGAAAACTCTCTTTTACTTCATGCAAGAAGGAGACAAGGAATGAAGAGAATGAAACATGTAGCTTATTCCTTTCCTGGAGCTTCCTTGTACCGGACCTCTGTTCATTTATAAGCCATTTCTGTTTGCCTTGAAACTTTTCAACAGGCTCTGGGAAGTGGAAGAATAAGTAAGACACTGTATTCTCCAATGTTGTTAGGTGCCATTGAGTTGATTTCATCATGATTCAGTGGGACAGAGTAGACTTGTCTGTGGGTTTCCTAGATTTATGAGTGGGTTCCAGCAGCCAAACATTCCATTGCACCAACCACTAGAGCTACATGTATTGTCCACATGTTTGGTAAATATCAACATTTTCTTTTTTCACTTACTTGTGAATCAACTTTTTTAAAAAAAATTTCATTGTTGCACATTTTCCCCCTCCTTCCCTCCTCTATTCCACCCCTCAATGCACCTCTTGTTCCAGATTACTCTTATTCACATAATGCAATGTTTACTAGCCATTGAGTGTGAGTTGATTGTGTTTGGCCTCCTATTTAAGAAAGCATTTGATCAGCAGTATGGGGCTAGAATCCCGGTGGGAAAGTCATCTGGAGCATCCTGATTCTACAGAGGTTTGATTTCAGGTTCTGGTGAGACATAGGGTGCATGCAATGTTTACTAGCCACTGGGTGTCAAATGTTCTTCTAAATGGTATAGCACTAGTCTGTCCATTTGCTGTACAGAGGTTAACTACTGGTTGCCGTGATGCTAAACACTATGACACTGATGTGTCAAATGTGGTAACAGTTACCCATGCTGGACAGTGTTTGTTGGAGCTCCCCAATTCGAACAAGCTTGGAAGCAGGCGTTGCATCCACTTCCGAAATAGCTTGCCTCCGGAAACCCTATGAATTTGGAGAAATAATGAAAGTTTACAGGTGTTCAGGTCTTTCCTTCAAAGGGTCGCTATGAGTCGTCTTCAACACAACTCCACTTAACAACAACAATGCTTAATCATGTATTCCTATCAAATAGTTCTTCCCTTCCTCCATTCTAATACAGATATATTATCTATCCACTCTTCGCCCAAGTCCCTTGCCCCATGTCTGTCCTATTTTATATAACAGTGATGCTATGCAATATTTATCCTTTTGTGACTGAGATAGTTAACTTACCATCCATCAACTTGTTAGATGTAGCATATATCCAGTTTACAGCATTTTCAGTATGTTGTTTTTGTGTTTTATTTTAAATTCCCATATAGTGACTGCTTGCTTGCTCGCTCTCCCTCTCTCTTTCCAGATTCCACGGAGCCAATCTTTTACAGTATCACTTCTGGCGATGTGGAAGGCAAGTTCTCCATCCATCCGTGGCTGGGCGCCATCCGCACCCAAAAGGCTCTGGATCATGAAGCGCAGCCGGTGGTGGTGCTCACGGTGCAGGCGCAGCTGGGCAGCTCCCCGGTCTGCAGCAGCACCGAGGTCAACCTAACCATCCTGGACGTCAATGATAACCACCCAGCCTTTCTCACAGACTCTGACGAGATCCAAGTATTTCCGCACACACCTCCAGGCGCGGCCTTGTACCTCGCGAGAGCAGAAGACAGAGACAGCGGGCTCAACGGATTGGTGCGGTACTCCCTTGGCAGCCAGGCGTGGGGCATGTTCGCCATTGATGGAAACCTGGGCGTGCTGTACCTTAACCAGAGCCTGCGCGGCACCACGCTGCGCAAACACACGCTGACACTCACGGCGCAGGACCACGGGGCGCCCCCACGCGCATCTCAGTTAGTGCTCACTATAGTTATCAGGGAAGAACAATCAAGGCCACCCTGGGCTTTTGAAAATTTGGTTTACCAAGCAGAAATCAGTGAATCCCTCTCCCCCACGACTCAAATACTCCAGGTCCAGGCCTACCCGCTGCACCCACCATCCGGGGCGCAGCAGCTCCGGTACTGGCTGGAGCCCACCACACACTCGGCCGTGTTTGGCATCGGCCCCTACACAGGCTGGATTTATTTGCAGCGGCAGCTCGACTATGAATCCACCCAAACGTACCATTTCAGAGTGTTCGCCCAGATCCCAGAGGACAGAGTGTTGCAGAATGTGAGCGCCTCTGTAACTATCCATGTCCTGGATGAGAATGACAATTCCCCGACTTTCTTCCATGATGTGGTGTTTCTGAAAGTCAAGGAGAGCCCTGTGCCTCAAGGGGTAATAGGCAAGATCACAGCAGTGGACAGAGACTCTGGGAAGAATGGACAGCTTTCCTATTTCCTTTTGTCTGATGGAAAATTTTTCAAGATGAATCCCAATACAGGTAGCGTTCAGTAGCTTCCATCTATTCTTTTTTTAACACTGAGGCTGACAAAGCACAGCAGAATTGAAGCTAAGCTCCATCCCACATACTAAGGGCAAGTGGCAAGGAGGAACCAGTCCTTGGAGAATGACATGCCCTAAAAGGTGGAGGGACAGTACAGGAGAGGAAAACACAGGATGAGATGTATTGACATGGTAATTGAGGTAATGGGTAGATTGTATCAGTGAGACTGACCCAGGACAGGTCAGGCTTCAGAGCTGTTGTACATAGGGTTGTTATGAGTCGCAGGTGACTCAGTGGCACATAACAACAACAACAATTTGCTATTATTTGATAGTAGTACTGTGTGATTTTAAAATGAAAGAAAAACTTGAATATAATTTTATTTTTAATGATTTATATTCCTTTTGCCTGACACCAAAATAGTGTTAGTTCTTATTTGAATGCTTATTTGACCTTCATTCTTTGTTTCATATGTAGATTTTTCCCCCAAAACGTCAAAAGACATTTTATGAAATGTAAACTTCTTCAGTGTAAGAGCAGCAAGTAGTCTCTTAATTAAGACTTCAAGTTACTCTAAGGAATATACGTTTTATTCTCATTTTTGTTAAGGAAAAGACACAAAGGGGCAACATTTACAATGTGTATTTTTGAAGTCTTAATTAAGAAATTAAATATTAATATCTTTTTAAGTTTACATTGCATACATTAATAGATATTTAATTTTTATAGGCACTTAAAATCATGATTATTGCAACTATAATGTTAAGGAAGCTGAGAGAAATTTCTAGGCAGTTGCCCCAGGTCTTGGAGCAGAGGAAAGAGAACACTACCCCTTTGTACAGTTCCAGGAGGCACTCTCTATATGATAGCCCATGCAGATGGTGGCCCTTGCCCTTTACAGAGGACAGAATGTTATTTCAGTCATGATTAATGTCAGAATTTTCATTTAAAGCCACCTGCATGTGCGAACTGGATTAAGGTGCCCCTGCTTCCAGGCTGACATAGCTTGTCACAGGAAAGCGGGCCTTCGCAAGAAGACTGCAAGCTGAACTTCCACTCCCGTTCACTCCCCCAAGCCCGCCCAGGCCTCATCTCTGCTGGACATGCACTGCACACCTGTTCTTCCTGGCTCTGCTTGGACTTTCCCCCATATGGCTAGTTTTCTACATAGTTCACGGAATTTACTTTTTCTGAAAATATGCCAGTTGTAATTGTTTCATCTGTGGTCTTCTGTCTTCCACAATCAGTCCAACCTGTAGAATTATAAGTTATTGTTATGTACCAACAAGTTGGAACTGACCCACAGCCCACCGTCCAGTGGGTTTTCAAAAGCAGCGAATCACACAGGAAGAGGTTGCCCATCTTTTCCCCATAGAACATCAGCTGGTGGATTTGAACCACATGCCTTTGGGTTGGCAGCATAACTACTTACCACTATGCCATCTGAGCTCCAGAATCAGAATTGCTTAACCTTAGAACTTCAGCTTCTTTAGCATAGACAGAGGAGGTAACTCCTGACATGCTCTGAGGACACCTTTTAAGGCACACTGGACAAATCCCACCTTCCACTTAGTGGGATTCTGAGAAGACCTCAGGTCATCAGGAATCTTCCTCCAGTTGAATCCTGACTTGGAACCACCCAGCCTAAGCTCCACAATCATTTTCAACACTGACCTCACACAGCTGTTCCATATTGATCATAGTTGGGTCATCAAATAAAGGGCCATTTACAACTTAAAAGTGTTCAGAGAAAATTTATAGTTTAGCATCTAAATAAAAATTACAGCTGTTGTGATTTTGTTACTTTAAAATAAAATTTTAGTAAGTACTGTGTTTGAACTTACCAGTTTCTGTTTCTTTCTCATTTTAGCTTTTGTTTTGATGTTCTATTGTTAGTTGTTGTCAATTCAACTCTGAATCATGGTGAGCCTCTATGTCTTAGAGAGTTTTCAAGCCTGTGAGCTTTGGCAAATGCGTATTCAAAGACACTGCTGGGTAGGTGTCTTGGAAAAAGAATTCATAGAATAGGAATAGCAGGTGGCCATTTCATGTGAGTTTTCATTCTCATTGTTAGATGGTGTTGAGTGAATTCCAGCTTTAGTGATCTCCTGTGACAGTAGAACTGCTCTGAACCCCCACCTCCTATTGCTTTTTCTTAGCTGTGTTCTTTACGGCAACAAATTGCCAGATCTTTCTCTCTTGGGAGAGAGAGAATCCCATTGGTGGATTAGAGCTGTCAGTCTCTGGGTTAACAGTCAAATGCATAATAACCATCACACCACCCAGGCTCCTTCACTTTTTGTCCATTTTTTCATACATAGATATTTACAGGGATGATGAAGAAACTGGTATTCAAAGGAACTCTGCAGCGTGAGTTGGGCTTACGCAGAAAAATATGCAGTCTGCAACGAGGGTTAGGCGTTTAGACATGATTCTCCATGGTTTTTCCATGAGGAAAGTTATAGAACACAGCACAGTTCTAGGCAACAATGTATGAAATAAAGCTTGTAAAACATACAATTATTTAAGGCTATGTTATCCATTATTCCATGTATGTTATGTAAAATAAAAATGCTTTATCTGTAATGAGTTTCATTTGTAACCCAAAGGCCACACTTCTCTGCCTGTTGGAATCCACCAGAAGCACAGTGGGAGAACGATGGGCAATCTCTACCCATGCTGTTGCAATTACAGCCTCTGAAAACCCACTGGAGGGTCAGCTATGAGTTGGTTCAGACTCACGGGCAATGCACTGTGTTATGTGTATAAGTAAATAAGATATAAAAGTAAATAAGTAAAAGACAGATAAGATAAATAAGAGTCTCAGGAATAAAATTCATTTTCCGGAAAGATGCTTTGCCTTTATTTTAAACTAGGAGAGGAAGACCCTCAATAAGATGGGTTGCCACAATGACTGCAGCACTGGCCTTAAGTCACAGCAGAAATTGTGAGGATGGCGCAGGCCAGGGCAGGGTTTGGATCTTTTGGACATAGGGTTTCTTGTAGTGGGACTCAACTCGACAGCACTGACAATGATAAAAACTAGAATGTATGTGTACCACTCAGAATCAATTTGACACTTTACTTTTTTTTACAAGTGTGATAGTTGACAGTTTATAAGATTTTTAAAAAAGAATTATTTTATATTGGTTTATTTATAAAGTTTGATTACCTTGTTTTATAAGATCTCACAATTTGATAGATGAAGGGGGTGAGGGAAATGGGGAAAGATCTGGTGTGAAAACAATTTAAGATATTTTAATACGTATTTGTTTCAGAGAACAGCTCTATCAGAGATCATAATGTGTCGAATTGTGGGGGAAGATCCCAACCACAGATTTTGAGATATCAGAGTTCATATACTTTTCACCATATGCACACCAACATATGGAAGATTGAATAATAATTATAAATCCTTAAGATTATTAAAAAATTCCTACAGCGAGTTTTATACTCATTTCTCACTTAATTGCATGATTAGTTTCCAAAAACCAGGCTATTGGGAAAATTGTGATTATCCAAAAATGGAGATCAGATAGATCAGGTCAGAAATTAAGGATGACAACATTATACAACTGCCAAATGACATCATTGCATAACTGTCAAATTACATCACTTTGTAACTGTGAAACCACTGAGATTAATAGAAAGACAATTTGACACTTAATTCTAACCCTCACAGCCAGTGAAACTCTCACTGTACAACTTGACTTTTGATATTGACAGATTGTACATCATTAAAATGAAAAAGTACTCAGATTCATTTCATACTGTTGTCATCAATAAGATCAGCTAATAAGATAGCCCATAGGGAAGAGTGTTTATATTTGCCTTTATGAATTTACTTTTTAGTTCAAAGGACTTTTGGTAGATAATTTGAAACACAAAGGGTGACAATTTCAAAGTGGCATTTTATCTTTTTTTCTGTTTTTGTTTTTTTAAATTTTATTCTGATTTATTTATAAAGTTTGAATACATACATTATTTTTCACAAAAGATCCTTCCCCCCAAAAAACATCCTTCCCATTTCCTTCACCTCACCTACCCATCGAATTTTGCAACCCAATGATTAACACCCTCCCCTCTCCCCCCAAAAAGTGGCATTTTCTGTAACAACTTTAGAATATTCGTACAACTTTAGAACCAGCAAAGATGCACCTTGTCTTGAAAGTTAGCAAAAGCTCAGAGGTTTGTCTTTGTGATCATTCTTGGTGTGAATTATTTTGGTTGTGGTTCCCATGACTCTTTTCTAATATCTAGTGTCCCTATCTCTTTTGCTCTACTCTGTGTTCTGCAGGCGAGCTTATAAATTGGGTGGCCCTGGATCGCGAGAGCCAAGTGCACCATCAGGCGACTGTTATCGTGACTGACCATGGATCCCCACCACGAAACGCCACCATGATGGCTTATATCTCAGTTACTGATGTCAATGATAACAAGCCTTATTTCCCACAATGTTTCCCTGGAAAGGAATTACACATTAAAGTACGTGGAGTGAAGTAGCCCTGCAATAAAGTTTTCCTGTTCTTAGCCTGGGGGGGGGAATTATACAATATTTGTCTTGAGCGCCATCGTGTGGTAAAAAGTGAAAACATCAAATTATTCAGTGTGGTTTTGTATACCTTTCAAGAATACTTGAGATTGTGCAAGTGTCAAAAAAAGACATATTAAAAAGGACATTTTCTATATGTGATATTTAGGGTTATATGTGATATTATAATGTAGTTTCTGCCCTTTGTATGCAAACATAATGATACCTTGATCATCAATAATGTTCAGATGAGGATTGATGGTTTTTCTAATAGTGCACACATCCCTTTGTGCATGCCTCCTTGTGAGTGGTCGATACATGTCCCTAATTTGGTCCAGTAAAGAAAGAGGACGCTGCTGAATAGTCAGTAAGGGAGACGCACGGCTAAATCAAAGACCAGACCTCGAACTGTTCCAATTCCCCAGCAGTTGTGAAGGAGACAGTCTCCTTCAGTGCGAGTTAGAGCCTTGCAAACACAATGGAGGATCAGCTTTGGTTGGTTCAGACTCCACAGCATTGAGTTCTTTTGAAAGGTAGAGTAACAATCTATAGCAACAAAAGAAATAGCTGCATACTTAGATATTGTAAAATTTGTTCTTTTGAGAGCATGTACAAGTTTCCAACTCTTTTTTTAATTTTTATTGCTAGGTTAGAAGCAATCCTATCTACAGCAGATTGAAACCTGACATGATATATTTAATTTTATTAAATAAGTATATTAATATACTTAATAAAGTAATGCCTTTAGGTTACTATGTTGTTGTGTACCGTAGAGTCGGAACCGACCCATAGCTGATCCTCTGGCAGGTTTTCAGAGGCAGTAATTGCACTGAAGGAGATTGTCCATCCTTCTGCTCATGGCCCAAACTGCATGTCTGCACTATGTGCAATGCAGCTTTTTGCCACTATATTCACTCACTCACTTCTGTCTAGTGGAAACCAACTCATTGCTGACCCTCCAGTGAGTATTAAAGGCTGCAAATTATATGTGAGGAGCCTTTCTCCTGTGAAGTAGCTGGTGGATTCAAATCTGCCTTTAGTTGACAACTCAAGCCCCGAGCCCCGAGGTCGCCAGGACTCCCATAAATATATTAGAGGAAAATAAAATAGTTTCATTATGTTATTATTTTCATGCATATGATTTTGTATGTATTATAATATATTAAAAAATATTCAAGTCCAAAAAAATATTCAAGTCCATAATAAATACATCTTGAAATGCTCTTAATTTTTTAAATGAACAGGTCATACTGATAAATATTTCAAAGCTACTCCTCCAAAATACTGAAATTAGACATTAATGTTAAATTAAAATGTGCATACTGGACAATAATGAGGAAGAAGATAACGTCCTCTTCTAGAGCCAGATGTAAAGAAATACCTTACTAAAGCAAAGAACTGTCATGATACCCTTATGATTTTTAATTGTATCATTAATATATGCTGTAAATTAATTGGACAGTTGACTCCAAACATGAGGTTGTCCTCCACACATGCAGGTCCTATTCCCAGAAAGTGCCTGCTAACTAATGAATTATGTTTCCCGCAATAAGAGTTCATGTCGACCTTTAGCATAATTTGTCACAGCCACCGCCTTTTAAGGATTGCCATGAGCAAGTAAATGAGAAGATGCAAAAAGTCTTAAAAATATATCTCACATCCAAGATGATTTAGTTTACTTTACATTTCTCTTCATTTTTCCTTAGAATTATTTCAAATAATTAGTAATTGGTTAGAATTGAGTAAATATTTAAATTTGCAGAAGTATTCTTTTCATGGACTTGTAACACTCATAATTTTTTAATATGTTAGATACTTTAATTATATATGGTTTTAGTTAAATGCTTAGTATTAATATGTTTCTTATTTAAAGTTAGTTAACTTTTAAAAACTTTTATTAGTTTGCATACAGCTCTATAAAATCTTTCATTCATATTGTGCTTCAAGTAACCATTCATATAGACCTCATTTCATACAACCTGTCATCATTATCTGTGCCTTTTGTCACCCCATCTCTGAGTCCCAACTGAATCTTTCCTGTGACTCATCCTTTTTTAAAAATTCACTGATTTGTAATCTGTTTATTTTAATGACAGGTTCTGGAAGGACAACCAATAAATATGTTGGTTACAACTGTGTTTGCAAAAGATCTTGATGGAGGAAACAATGGAGAAGTTACATATTCAGTGTCTTCAGGTAAAATGTATGGTTCTTAAAGGATTAAGGGCTTTGCTGACTCCTATTTTCATTTTTCAACTGTATGACTACTGAGAAAATTAGTTTTACGTTTATGGCTTGGAATTGTCACTTTAACTTTGAATATAACTCCTAATAAAATATATTTTTATTACAAAAATGTCACAAAACACATAGTCCAGAATCACTTCCTTTAAATAAACTCAAGCTCAAAATCAAATTGTCATTGAGTTAGAACCGACTTGTGGCTGACTCTCTGACAGGTTTTCAGAGGCAATAAATCACATAGGAGGAGATTGCCCATCTTTCTCCCATGGACCGGCTGGTGGATTTGAACCTCCAGAGGAGTGCCCCTTTTGGGTTAGACTGTGCACCAGAGAAAAAAGAAAATTTAAAGTTTAAATGCAGAAATAGCAGTGTTTCTTAGAGTTGCTGTGGGTTTTAGGATTGGACACTTTTAGCCTTGCGTCTGTTTGTGAAGCATTTCAGTCTAGTCCTGTTTTTGTCAGTATTTTCCATTCGACACTTAATTTTTCCTTTAGTACTTACTTGTCACGAAAACATTTAAAAATATCTTTGAGACATTGGAAATTTGAAAACTGACTGAATATTTTACTAGTTTTGAAAATATATTATTATGTCGATTAAGCCTGAGGGCCTAGAGTTATTTTTTTGGAGGAACATCCTTCTAAGTTGTACAGCACTCTTATGTCAAGCTGAACCTTTGGATCCTTGAGGGTCAGATACCATAACGGCTGCCCATGGTGGACAGCGTTTGGTGGAACTCCCAGTTTAAAACCATTTGAAAGCAGGAGTGGCATCCACTTCCTAAACCACATGCCTCTGGAAACTCTGTGGACCTGGAGAAATGACAAATAGAGAAAGGCTTCAGGTCTTTGGTTCATAGGGTCGCTATGAGTCAAGCTTGACTCAACAGCAATCATCAACAACAACATTATGTAATTTCTGGGATTTGCTTCAAAAGACAGGGAGAGAAGTATATGAATGAGATACAGATAAAGTAATAACTTACAAATTGGTAATTATTGAAGCTGGATAATGGACGCGTAAGAGTATGATATCATTCTGCTTGTTTTTAATATGCTTTACTTTAAAATGTTAAAAATAAAATAGCTTTTAAAGTCTATTCCCTGTCTATTTTTTAAGTATTATTTTTATGTTCATATCTCATAGAAATGACTACAAATGCACGTACAAAAGATTACATGTCTTTAGAGTAATTGATTTTTCCTTTTCTGCATTGTTAATTAAAACGAATTATTTTTGTTGTTGTTTGTGTAGGAGATAGTTCTGATCCCTTTAAAATTGATGCTAACAGTGGTGAAGTAAGAACCACTGCTATACTTTCGTATGATTACAGACCTTCCTACAGGATGACTGTAATTGCTAGTGACCAAGGAGTACCCCACCTCCAAGGACAGGCAGTAATTAATATTCAGGTAATGTTCTGAGGGTTTTATTTGATTTTTATACAAGTGAATAAAGCATAGCTATTTTAACAGAACAAATATTATTTATTCTTTTCCTTTATGAGAATATTGCACATATGTGTATACTTTGCATTATCACTCAGAATACAATTAGATCCCAACAATTTTTTTAAATTGTATTTTGTAAAGTTCTTGATGAAATAGTTCACCTTATCACTATATGAACATTTATATTGCTTTGCTTATAATGAACATAAAGCATCTTTTACTTCTCCCTAAATGCAAGGACCTAGTAGGTTTCTAAGAGAAACATGTGTAAACAAATAACCACACAATAAATGACATTGTTTTTTAGTAATTTTTTTTAAAGGGTACCCAGTGACAGAGCGTGTAATGCACCAGTCTGTTAAATGAAAGGTCGGTGATTCAAATCTACCAGTCATTCCAATGGGAAAGCTGGTCACTCTCCTGTATAGATTTGCAATCTCAAAACCTCAGAATGAAGTGGCCATGATGAACTTGGATTAACTTCACAGTAGTGAGCTTAATTGTTTTTTAAACTTTTAAAATTGTATATTTTTACATATTTCAGTGTTTTTCCTTTAATCATAATGGACAAGTTACAGAAATTGTTATAGAAAAAGTTACCCTAACCCATTGATGACTATGTATAGCCAGATTTTTTTTTCATTATTCTTCATGTACATGGCAATCAGTAATGTATTTTTAGGCATACATAATAATCAATATGTTATTGTTCATTTCTGTAGAGTCAGAAATAATTCACAGCTGCCCCTCCAGTGGGTTCTCAGAGACTGTGAAGAGCCCCAGGGGAGAGTGTGCGTCCTTCTCCCGTGGAGCAGATGGTGGATTTGATGCTCCTGTCTTTGTGTTGGCAGCACAACTCTTTAGCCGTAGGCCATCAGAGCTCCCAGAGTGTTATGGATATTCACAAGAATTTTGTTTCCAAATTCTATTCTTTAAGAAGGATGTTTAAGTCAGCAGAAAATTCTACATGGTCCAGATTTTTTGTTTCAGGCAAACAAGGACACGGAATACTGAAAATGCATGTAGATCTTGTCATTATTTATTTTCTGTTCATATACATGACAATCAATTGCATGTTTTTAGCTGTCTACCATGCAGAGCAATTTAGACAATGAGTCATCCCATGTTCCCCTTGAAGAATCGCAGGCTACAGTTCAGGATGATCTCATCAAACTGTAACTTCACATTATACAACCAAGTGGGACTTATAAATTCTGTATTTCACTCTCCTAGTTATTATACAGTTTTCGATCTTCAGAAACACATTAGAATTATATAAAGCAATGTTTTATCACCATCCTATATGTACAGTACAAATGGAATAACGTAGCGTTTAAAATGTCATAATCTGTATTGATACAACTGTTTTTAAAAGTACCTTCAAATAACAGCTTTTTTGAAATTCTTTTTTTAAATTTTAGGTGATACCACAATTCAAAGGGAGTGCTGTAATTTCTCAAAGTATTAGACATTTGGTTATTCCTGAAAACCTGAAGCCTGCAAAAATTCTGAGCCTGATAAAGTCACCTGACCACCTTCACCAACATCAGAGTGGGAAGTTACATTTTACCATCATTGCAGATGACAAGGATGGTCATTTTGACATCGACAGCTCAACAGGAGACTTGTTCCTTTCCAAGAGACTTGATTATGAAATGAAATCTCATTATCTTTTCAGGGTGGTTACCAGAGATCTTAGCAAGACTCCACCCCTGAATAGTACAATCTTCCTGAGCATTGATGTGGAAGATCAGAATGACCACTCTCCGTCTTTCCAGGATGAGGTTATTGTGATAAGTGTAGAAGAGAATGTTCCCATAGGTACTCTGGTGTATTCCTTTAATGCCAAAGATGGAGACGGCAGTTTTCTGAACAGTAGGATACAGTACTTCATCGAATCACACCACCCTGGGAGGAATCCATTTCTCATCCATCCCTCATTTGGCACGCTCGTCACTGCGTCCCTCCTTGACAGAGAGAGCATTCCCACTGTCATCCTGAAAATCACTGCATCAGATCAGGCTGTGAATGTGACTGACCGGCGACTGAGGTCAGTGGTGGCGAAGGTTGTGATTTTAGATGTAAATGACCACAGCCCCATGTTCACATCCTTGCCTGTTGCTCACATCCGCGAAGATGCCACCGTGGGCTCCATGGTGCACCACATAGTTGCTCAAGATGCAGATGCAGGAAGGAATGGGAGAGTAACGTACAGCATCCTCTCAGGCAATGAAGACATGGCCTTTGCACTAGATGAGTCATCAGGTACAGTGCACAATACATCCCTTCAGGTGGCAGCCTCTAGTCACTCGTTTATGTTTATCACTTTAATCTTTCTCTTTGTGAAAATACTGTCAAAAAATGCTTTAAAAATTACTTGTTATACTTGTGTAACATATAGTTGATAAGCACAGAGCTTATATAGCATATTTGTTGGTATTGATTATACATACCTAGCTTATCTTTCAGCAGCCAACTTCTTTTTCTGACTATGAAACATCATGGGGGAAGATGGTACCAAAATGAATTAAGGTAAAACAAGCAGAAACTAATGAGTTGCCATCAAGTCTGACTTGTGGAAATCCTGTTTATGGAAAAGTAAAACTATACTCACAGGGTTTGCTTGGCTTATTTTTCAGCAGTAGGTTGGCAATCCTTTCTTTTCAAATACCTATTTGTGGACCCAGGCTACTAACTGTGTGGCTCGTAACAGTGCTCTTAGGAAAATGACAAGTCAGAAGCATTAGTCAAAGATTTTAGTGGAGAAACGTATCCTGTAAGATCATATAAGCATACATTTGTAACTAGTTGGAAATAGGAGATATATTATTTTAAAATAGTATATATTTTTTTAATGGCCAGGACAGTTTGAACGTTGAAAACCTTGCTTTTCATATAAACTAGAACCCTTTATTTTATGCAGAAGTATTTATTCACTCTCAAGCAGAAACGTCTCTCTCACTGTCATTTCATTTGCTGTGCTGCCCCCTGCTCCCTGATAGCATCTACTGGAAATTTGCTTTAGTTTGATTTTAAAGTATATGTATAAAGTACCATTCTCATGAATCTGGAAGCAAGCATTCCTCTATCTAGTTATAAAGGAAAGGTGAAAATTAAACGGCCTATTATCTCATGCTTTAAAAAAAGTAAAGTTTTCTTCATAAGGCTTAGAAAAACTATCATGTATATACCATCTGGCCCCATTTCCATTAAAAACCATTATTTGAGATGGAACTGAATGTGTAGGATGGCTGTATTCAATTGGAAATTTCATCAAATACTTACAAAATCCAGTACATATGGTTGCATTCTGAGGCGTGTGTGGACCCAACCCAAATTCCCGGTTGACACAGATAGTCCAGACATTGCCTCTGATTTGTGTTAGAACCATGAATCTCCAAGGGCCTGTTTCAGTGATACTTAAAACATTTTCCAAGATGGTTAAGGAGGGTCTATTTCGGATTGTTAAAGATGATGGGTGATTTTAGAATTGTGGCTCAGGAATATAGGATTCATGAATCTCAAACAATTGCAGGGACCGTTTCAGTTGAGATATTTTTTAAAGGCATAAAAAGATAATGGCTGAATACATTTATATGGGAAAGGTAAATTTCTTCTCCCATAAGGCTCATCTTTCTTAAATTGTAAGTTTTGGATCACCTATGACTTTAAAATATAAAGTAATGAATAATTGTTAAAAAACTATCTTATACACTCTGGGTCACTAAACTTCAGTTATTTGAATGCAAGCTCTTAGAGGGTGAACATGTTAGATACAGGCAACAGAAAGAGAAAATGTGACAATCAGAATCATGTCAAAGCTCTGTGCATGTAAAACATTTTGCTTTTATGGATTTTATAACTGTTATAGATTGTTGTTGTTGTTGTTTTTATGTGCCATTGAGTCGCTTGTGGCTCATAGCAACCCTGTGCACAAGAGCCCTAAACTCTGTTTTATCCTGTGTCAACCTCATTGTTTCTGACACACCTACTCCCACCACCCCAATCATTGAATTGATCAATCTCATTGAGGGTCTTCCTCTTCTGCGCCATCCCTCCACTCTCCCAAACATGATGTCCCTCTCCAAGGACAGGTCCCTCCTTGCAACATGCCCAAAGTACGTCAGATGAAGCTTCAGAATCCTTGACTCCAAGGAGCAGTCTGGTTTCACCCTCTCCAGGACAAACCTCTTTGTTCTCCTAGCAGTCCATGGTATATTCAACACTCTTCTCCAGCACCACAGCTCAAAGGAATCAATTCTCTTTCCATCATCCCTACTCATTGTCCAGCTCTCTGATGCATAGCACACAGTTGCTATAGACTAGAGACATTTTTTTTTCCTTTCCTATGAGCTGTTGCCTGGGTCTTAGAATCTTTACTCTGTATTTAAAATTAAAAAGTCACAAAAATTAGTGTGTAACCTAACACTTTAAGACCAAACAAATATTTTTAAACACCAAGTTGTTATTGGTTGGTGCTGTCGGATAGACCCCAGCTCAGCAGCAGCTCTAGATGTAGCAGAAAGGAACGTTGCCTGATCTGCAGTCATCCTCATTGGCTCCACTGGGCCTGTTGTTACCGCCACTGTGTTAACCGAGCTCATTGAGGGTTCCCTCTCCTTTACTGATCTTCCGTTTTTCTAAGCATGATGTTTTTCCACAAGGACTGGCTCCTCCTGACAGCAGATCCAAAGGTTTTGTAATGAAGTTTCAGCATCCTTGCCTCCAAGGAGCACCCTATTTGCATTCTCTCCAAAACAGATTCTTTGTTCTTTTGGTGGTCCGTGGGATATTGAGTATTATTCTCCAACACCACAATTCAAAGGCATCAGGTCTTCTTTAGTCATTGTCCAAGTATCACACATACACAGGAAGTAATTGAAAATACTGTGGCTTGGGTCAAGTGCAGTTTAGTCTGTAAAGTGACATTTTTCTTTGTTAGCATTTTAAAGAAGTCCTTAGCAACAGATTTGCCAGATCAAATATGTTATTTCATTTCTTAACTACTGCTTTCTTGAGTATTGATTATGGATGAATCAAAGTAAAACAAAATCCCTGACATTTTCAATCTTTTCCTCATTTAGCATAAAGTTGTTTATTGATCCAGTTGTAAGAATTTTTTGTTTGATTTATGTTGAACTATAATCCACACTGAAAGCTATAATCTTCAGGCTATATTCATATCACTATACTAATATTTTTATTTTGTTAGTGTCATAGATTTCTTTTAAATTGAAGACAGATGTTGGGGATATGTAATCATGATGCAGTACTCTTGGTATATAGTGTTATACATGATTTCTGATTTCTCATTCAGATAGAGACATTAGAAATAATCTCATAGCAATAGGATGATCCTTCACATTCAAGTTAGAATGATTTTTTCTATCTAGTAATATTTTCTTTTAAATTCTAGATTTATTCTTCAACAGTTAAAACATTTTAATTTTTTAGGGAGCTCTGGTGGCCTAGTCGAATGCACCAGATGCTCTGCTGGAGAAGGAGGGGGCAATCTCCTCCTGTACCAGTCAGATCTGATTTGACGGCACACGTAAAAATAATGCAATAAAAATTAAAAAAATAATTTCATTTTTTATATTTATGTTATATTTTATATATAAATATATACTATATATTTTATTTCTTTATTTTTATTGAGTTAGATTTATGAGACAAGTAAAGCGCACGTGATTTCTCCAAGAAAGGCTTATTTTGTGTTGTTTTTCTTTCAAAACAGGTATATTAACTACAACTTGCCCTTTAGATCGTGAAATAAAAGCCCAGCACATTCTGACTATTCTAGCTTTGGATGATGGTGTACCAGCACTTTCTTCATCCCAGACCTTGACTATTACTGTTTTTGATGTAAATGATGAGGTGCCAGTATTTAAACAGAACCTGTATAAAGCTACCGTTAAAGAAAACCAAATTCCTGGATCATTTGTCACAAGGGTGCAAGCCACGGATAAAGATTCAGGTAATTTAAAAATATGTAATTTAGGTAAGTTAAAATATGTAATATTGCTAAAAACACTGAAGAATTATAATTAAAATGTTCTTGTTGTTATTATGATGTCACCTGAGACTCAAAGTGACCCTAGGTACAGCAGCTCTGATCCCTACCATGTCCTGAGCCAGTCTCACTGACTCTGACACACCTAACCCCATTGCCCCAGTTGTTGTGTCAATCTATCTCATCCAGGGTCTACCTCTCCTGCACTGTCCCTCCACCCATCCAAGCATGATATCCTTCTCCAAGGACCAGTTCCCTTCTGGTCATGTGCCCAAAGTATATGAGATGGAGCTTCAAAATCCTAGCCTCCAAGGAGAAACTTGGTTTCACCCTCTCCAAGACAGACCTATTTGTTTTCTTGGTGGTCCACGGTATGTTCAAGACTCTTCTCCAGCACCACAACTCAAACACATCAATTCTTCTGTCATCCTTAGTCATTGTCAAGCTTTCTAAAGCATAGCAAATAATTGCAAAGACCATGGCCTGGGTCAGGTGACCTTACTCTTTAGACTGACATCTCAGTACTCTGGAGAGGTCCCTGATGGCAGATTTTCCCAGTATAATTTATCTTTTGATTTCCTGACTGCTGGTGCCAAGAGTATTGTGGAACTGAGCAAGCTGTAATTGTTAATAACAACCTCATTCTCTTCTCCATCCATCATGGTGCTGCCAGTTGGTTCAGTGGTGAGAATCTTTGTCTTCTTGATGTTGAGCTTCAATCCATATTGAAGACTATAGTCCTTGACTTTCTGCATAAATAGTATAAAGACACAAGACCCTCAACAAGATGGATTGACACAGTGTCTTTAACAGTGGACGTACTATGAGAGATCCTGAGGGTGATGCAGGATAGGGCAAGATACAAGTTTGTTATTCTGAGAATCTTAGGAAAAAAATGATTAATGGTGGAGTTGATGGCACTCAGCAACAGCACTACTAAAACCCCTGAAAACAATATCTAGTTATTGAAAACTTCATATACTTCTTTCATTCACATACTCATAAAACTACATGTACCTATCAAGATAATACATGCTTTTATAGCATGTGATTGCACAAATCTTTATTATTTATCATGCTGTTGTGTTTAATTAGCATCATTCATTGGTCTGATATTGATAATAAAAAGAAATATAAACAACACTTCACATTTTTAAAGGTTCTTATATTTAGGTACACTAAATAAAAAATATAATTGGGTCTTTATTTTGTGTACAAATTGTTGTTTTATGTACCATCAAGTCATTTGTGATTCATAGCAACCCTATGTACAATAGCTCTGGACCCTGCCTGTTCTGTGCCAACCTCATTGTCTCTGACATACCCCCTACCCCCATTACTCCAGTCACTGAGCTAATTCATCTCATCAAGGGTCTTTCTCTCTTCTGCTGTCCCTCCACCCTCCCAAGCATGATGTCCCTTTCTAAGGACTGGTCTCTCCTTGCAGCATGACCGGAGTATGTCAGATAAAGCTTCAGAATCCTTGCTTGTATAAATAGAAAGAATTATAAGGCTTGTATCATATTTAATCCTAGTGCAAGCAGAGTAATAAGCAAGCCATTAAACTTCTCTGTGGCTTTTTGCCTATTTGTAAAATGGAGATAATACTATTTACTTCATTGTTATTCATCTTTATCACTGGTATTTCTGTTATACATATGAAATAAATTATCATATGAAAAGTTCAGCGTAGGGTTAGAAGTAAATGTGCTCAATAAGTGTTAATTTTTATTATCACCAGTTTTATTCATACCAACTCCTGTGCCCTGCTCTGGTGGCTTTGTTTGTAAGGAATTGCACTGCTAATCCAAAGACCACATCTCTCTGGTGGTTTGAATCCACCAGCTTTTCCACGGTAGAAAGATGGGCAGTCTCCTCCTGTCAAGATTTACAGCTGGGAAACCATTTGGAGGGTTTCCATGAACAAGGCAATGGTGTATTTTTCATATTTACTGGTTTTGGTTTTATTTACTATCTTTATGGGCATTTCAATTTCATTTACTTTAGTAATATTCAGGCTTTTACTTTTAACAAAGTAATTATAAAACTTGGAAGGCCAGCTATAAGTCAGTTACGACTAGATGGTACACATCAACACTTGTGAGTGGTGACAGTAGTGGTTCTGTGGGGGAAAATCACCATCTTCCATACAAGAGACCTGGGTTTGATTCTCACCCAGTGCACCTCAGACCCTATTTTTCAGGACAGCTTCACGAAGTTTGCTTATGTAAAAACAAATAAAGATTATTGAGTGATAGAGATGATCTAGGGAAATTTCCATTGTTACAGAATGATAATAGCCCCTCCACCAGCCCACAAAACAGGATACATTCTTATTTTTTGGAACAGCAACTAAAAGTTACACAGTTTGTAATTAGCTGAAAGATTATCATCAGAATTACAGGTAGAATACCTAGAAGTGAAAATACCCCTTTAGCACATGGCACACAAGCAGGAACATGAATGGTCAAAGGTGCATACAGTTCAGTTTGTTACAGAGTGGTTCAGGACAGGGAACAGGACTGGTAATTTATTCTTCCTCAGTCAAGTCTGTGTCTGGAGGTCTATTTCAAAGATAAAGGTAATACTGTATCTGAAGACTCATCTTGCATCTATTTGTCTATAATGATAAAGAGCCCTTGGCAATGGATTAGTTATCTTATGTTGGCAGACCTCGATAAAGGAATGTTGTCCTTGGGACATATGGGCCAAGGTTAAAGTGATTGCCATTGGAAAGACAGCTTTAAAAAATTCAGTGTGGTTTACCGATTAACATCAGAACTTTAAAATACCATCCTTATGAGCCGAAGTTAATTCTCTCAGCCTAATCCTCTCTACCCTCATGTGATACAGTATTTTTTAAAATTGTTGCTTCTGAGTACAGCATAGTTTCCACAATTTCTCAATCCATTCATTTGTTGATGTACATTTGATCTGCTTCCATTGTCTTACTATTGTAAACACAATGTGTGTGAATGAAATTAATTTTGTATACAAACCAGTATAAAATAAAAATAAATCTAAAGAAATCACACAAGCAAAAAAACTTTCAAATGGAGTTAAGGCTTTGCTTTTAGATTGCCCTGTTTATACACAAACCAGATGCCTCTGATTTTAGTCTCCTTTGCCACAACATCAGCTGTCTGTCAGTGGAGTTTTGTGCATTTCTACGACGATGGACAGGTTTTAGCAGAGCTTTTGGACTCAGCAGAGGAAGAAGAAGGGTCTGGTGGGCTAATTCCAAAAATCAATCAATCAAAATGCTATGGCTCACAAATGTCCAATTCTATTATGTGTGGTGTCTCCTTTAGTGAGGGACAACTAGACAGCAGATAATGTCCCGCCTGAGTTATTTTAGGTAATTTAATAAAAAGTTTAAATTGGCATTTGCATATAGCACGTAGATTTTACATGTCAGTCTAATATTTGTTTTCTATTCTTCACCCCTACACCCCACTCCCCACTGTGGTTTAGAGGAGAGAACAGAAAAAGAATAATGGATCGATAATCGTTTTCAATTGTTGAAATGATAATGATTATAATGAATATTTATTTCTATAGAAGTAAGAAGCCAGACTTGTAAGAAACTCTGGGGGTGTAGTCCATAGGGAATTACGCTGCTCTCCGCTGGTGGTTCGAATCCACCAGTGGTTCTAAGGGAGAAAAAAGGAGCCCTCTCCTGCCACGTGAATTACAACTTTGAACATTTTCTGAAGGATCAGCAGTGAGTTGGTTCTAGCTAAGGGACAATTTTGACTTTTGAGAGAATTAATAGTATTAATAAAAACATTTCCCCCATAAATTGTTACATTAAAGGTGTAAAAAGTACATTTACTTGAATTTTAGAACTAAAATATATACCATTAAACTTGGAAACATCTTTTTTTATATTAATAAATTTTTCATTTTTTGCTGGTTTATTTACAAAGTTCATATACATTGTTTTTCACACTGGATCTTTTAACAAAATGTGTTTTACATGAATTTTGCCTGTGAGGGTAGGAACACTTCCCACCTACTTTTTTCTCTTTGACCAGAGTGGGGCAGTATGATCAAAGAGTTTTTCTTTGTATGGTCAAAGACACATGGTTGTAGTATGTTTACAACTATTTGTCCTAGCCAAATTTTTAAAGTAATTTATTTAACGTATTTCTGGAAATACTCTTTTTAGATTGATAGAAACAATATATAATATACATAAACTCTTCAGTTCAGGAAAAGTTTTTTTTGAGTGTTCCCTCTTGTGAATAGAGCAACACAGATCTTTGGACAATAGAGAAACTATTTGTCAGTTATACAAACATGCACTATATCTGTTAGTACAGATAGGTGTGATTTAGTTAAACATTAAAGTATCTTAAATGCTCTGCCTTGGGTATACTTAATTTTTTTACAGTAGATCATACCAACCTAATTTACTTTGCTTCACTGTCTTAAAAAGGAAGACTTCCTCTTAAGGTTTTTGTGAATATCAACTAAAAATTATTATCATTAATATGATTTTCTTAATTTTTACTTCAAGTTGCTTAGTATTTGTGTGTTTGCTTTTAGAATGAATATTCTGTAACCTATTATTTGTGACTGAAATTTCATTATTCTAGAGATTGTACTTATCTGAAAAATTTAGCGTATCATTATCCTAGCTTTGTCTTTGTTAAATGTTTAAATAAATACATTAAGCTCCTCATGAGTTGTATGTTTGGAAGCTAATTTTTATTTACTAGGAATTTTGGTGTTTCTAATGTTTAAGCAAGTGGTTGCATGAATGCATATGAATTTGAGGAAAAAGTAGTTTTTCCTCAACCTCCTCCCTTCCCCCACCAGTTGAGTAAAAGAATGGAGAAGGATTATGCATGAAAATTAAATGACGTAGCCAAGATTTTAACATAACTGGCATCACATTGGAATTTATGAATGGTTTACTTTATAGTAGATATTTTTAGAAAATACTATGGCATTACTTA